GAAAAGAAAGAGCATAGACGGTCATGGCGAATGTTTGTCCCAGCCAATTTTATGGATTATGCAAACAAAAGTGAAAGCTCTTTTGTTGAACCTCCTGATCTGTCAGATGCTGTTACCAAGGCTGGCAAGTGCAGAGGGGGTACTAATTCTCTCACGTCGGAGGAGGATGACTCTGGGTTATGCAGTCCTCCAGCCGAGAGGGAAGAAAAACAGGGCATTTTACCTGGAGACCCATCCCGAATTAGAAGCTTGTCTTCTGCTGAAGATATTCACATAGCAGAGCAATATAGACCCTTTTTTTCTGTTAATTCCATCAGCGAACAGAAAATCCCCTTGCTTTCATGCAGAAGCGCCCACCTTGATGACAACTTCAAAACGATTTTACATGATGTTTCTCCACCAGAGGAGACAAAACGTGTCAACGGTCAAAGGGAAATCCGTGGTGAAAATTGCTGCCTGCAGAATGATGTCAAAGAGAGCACTCTTAAGGCTGACCCATTCATTTTGCCAAGAGAGGGAGAAAACAAGTGTATTTCTAACCCCAGAGAAGAAGGAAAAACATATGGACCAGGAGAATTACAAAGCACAGCACGAAGTAGGGAATTTAAGGGACGTTCTCCTGAGGATTTGGCTCTCCCTCACACAGATCTGGGGGGAAATGATGTAGATGGGGGTAGCGCAAGTTTAGTAGAAAACCTGACATTATTGACACAATACGATTTGGAAGAATCCAACGTAGCATCTCAAGAGGACATGGAGGCTCCCCTTTCTGCCCAGGAGATGGAGGCGATCCCTATGCAAGGCTCCCCCAAATTCAGAGCAGTAAGAAAGAAAGCCACTGCCCGAAAAACAAGGGCCCGGGCAGGAACCTTGGACCCTGTCTGTAATGGCTTTCACTCAGTTCAGGTAATTAATGGAGATGGGAAACTCTGTGATGCCCAAGGTCTGTGGTAGTGTTGTCAAGTGGCCACTGGTGTTTCCAATCATGGTCAATCCGGTCTTGTCTTTGGGGGCGGTTGACTAGTACCCTACCAGATGGCAGATATTGATATGATCATAACAACAAATTAATAAGGGACCGTTTTTGAGGAGCGTGATTATCCCCAGCTGTTTGGAGTCCTGCTCCTGGTTGTAGAGACGTTGGCTGTTCCCTTTCATTTGAATGCCTCCACTGTGAATTTATGTTAGGCTTAGGCTTTTCCACAAATTGTGGTTTAAGACCCTGCCATTTAAGGGCAGTTATATTGGATTTATTAAGCTCGAACGGGCTTAGGAAGGTACCAACACAGTATTGTTATGGTCTGAGAAGTGCTCTTCTCAAACTGAGGACTTTTTACACCTTCTGAAAATATTCTCTCAGTTGCTCTGCATGGGGGAAAGAGGTAATTGTGCTATATTTTGCCCCTCACTTGTATAGCCCCTCACTTTTGGTAAGCGGTGAGGTAAGCAAGTAAAGTGTACTGCCTTGTAATAGGGAGAGGTTGGTTGTCAAGCCTGTAATTTTTTTCTTCCCACTTAGATTGAAGTTCAGCTATTTTGGTCCTTTTCCTAAGCTCTTCTGGTAAACTTTGCCTCAGAGGTAATTTTATTTTATTTTAAGCTTCTCTTGTGTTTGTGTACTCATGGGTTAGATTGGGGGGAGAGTCTCTCTTCCTAGGTATTTTGTTACTGAGAGATAAGGAATTTGGACACTATCAGTCTATGAAATAATTGCTCTAATCAGGGATGCCCTTTCCATGAGGTTGCATTAAATGGCATGCTAGTTTGAAAGCTTAGCAGAGTACCTTTTTTTTTTTTTTTTTTTTTTTTTTTTTTTTTTGTTTTTTTTTTAAAAGAGAAGTGCTCTTCTCAAACTGAGGACTTTTTACACCTTCTGAAAATATTCTCTCAGTTGCTCTGCATGGGGGAAAGAGGTAATTGTGCTATATTTTGCCCCTCACTTGTATAGCCCCTCACTTTTGGTAAGCGGTGAGGTAAGCAAGTAAAGTGTACTGCCTTGTAATAGGGAGAGGTTGGTTGTCAAGCCTGTAATTTTTTTCTTCCCACTTAGATTGAAGTTCAGCTATTTTGGTCCTTTTCCTAAGCTCTTCTGGTAAACTTTGCCTCAGAGGTAATTTTATTTTATTTTAAGCTTCTCTTGTGTTTGTGTACTCATGGGTTAGATTGGGGGGAGAGTCTCTCTTCCTAGGTATTTTGTTACTGAGAGATAAGGAATTTGGACACTATCAGTCTATGAAATAATTGCTCTAATCAGGGATGCCCTTTCCATGAGGTTGCATTAAATGGCATGCTAGTTTGAAAGCTTAGCAGAGTACTTTTTTTTTTTTTTTTTTTTTTACTGTATTTTGCAGTTTATTTGTAGAAAGTAATTAAACTGTTAGGAGTATATAGATTCTTTAGTAGTTATCTTTTTTTAACCCTTAATGTATTTTTGTTAGCACTTGAGAAAATTACCACAGACTCACCCAGAACTACGCTGATAGGCAACCCTGAAATTCATTTCTTTAAAACCAAGTCCAGGGGTTAAGGCAATTTACTGGAATGTTTTTATTAGGTTTTTGTTTTGTTTTGTTTTGCCCTGAAAATTAGCTGTGAGGGAGAATAAAACTTTTCCCTGCATCCTTATGTACCAGACAAGTTCCTGGAATTAAAAATGTAGCAGTTTCCCTCCCCCCTCTTTTTTTTGGTAAGTAGTAAAACATATCTACAGCTATTAGTTCCTAGAAATAGTAACTTGGAAAGTGGTATAGAAAAGAAGTAGGATCATAGCACCAAATTCTGTTTTCACTACCTTCCTGTTTCTATTGACTTATTAGGTAAATGAATGCCTTTTTTAAAAATCATGAAAGACATATGGTAATTTTTTCCCAATGATTTGGGGAATTCTTATAATTCTTTGTTTATGTGTAGTTGACTTTTTATACTGAGTATTGTTATATAGAAACAATTAGCCATTGTGGAAACTGTCTGGATTTTCTGTGGAAGAAGTTTGGGCTTTTTGCTAAGAGGGGACTTTTAGAAGAGATGATCATTTATTTGTTTGCTGTTCTTTAATTTACTCATTCATACTATAACACAGAAGTATCCTGTGTGCTGGGCTTGCTCCAGAGTCGGCAGAGTTTGTCTCTGGCAGCCTCTACATCTTTCAAAATTATTTCCCATACTGTGCCTGTAATTTTTTCTTAAGTCCTATTTTGATATTTGTTTTTATTGTTTTCATATATTCTGTTTAACTGTTCATTCACTTGGACTGTTGATATACTTATATAGTGGCCTGCAGTATAATGACTCAGTGCCCCAAACCTTGTCTTACCTTAATCTCTAGCTGAAGCTTTCCTTCCTTAGTTAAATTATTTGCCTTCCTAGCATCCTTCAAGCCCTATATTAAAAACATTTGTATTATCTGTGAAAGAATTGATGTACCCCCCCAGTATTATCTATTGAGGGGTTATCATCATATACCCCAAGGTATAAATAAAATTTTCTATACTGATATTCATTTGGCAAATCATTAACAGGTCCATATTACAAGCTAGGTACTGTGGTAGGTCCAGGGTATATAGAACGACTGTAAGGAAAAGAGAAGTTTATGCTTTCGTGGAACTTGCATTTTACCCTAATACATTAATTAGATCTTTTGCCAGTTACAGGCAGTGGGGCCTATAAGTTGGGTGGGATGGAGAGTCGGCAGGGAGAGTGCTGGAAAACTGCCGACAGTGCAGGCAGTGATCCAAGGGTGACCAGGGTTGCTGTGCCGGCCCTGTGTGATCAGATCCGTGGGGTGAGGCCTCCGTGCATCCTGCAAGCCCGTCGGCATCTTGACAGGCGTTGAGGGGCTAGACGTGTAGGAATCCACACTATTGCAGTGCCCATCTACCTCTTTTTTCTGTTTCCTTCCCTGTATTTGCCCCTCTGGCTCACATCATCTTCTTGTCAGTGACCCCCATTTCCAATTTGAGTCTCAAATGTCACTTGCCAGTTAGCAGCAGGCATCCTTGGAAGGGCCTATAAGAATTCTTGCCAGGAAGGCTCATCTTGGGCCCTTGTTACCATTTTGCTCCTTAGCATTTTCTCTACCTTCTTTTTTGTTTTAATTGAAGTGTAGTTGACTTACAATGTTGTGTTAATTTCTCCTGTACAGCAAAGTGACTCAGTTATACATATACATACATTCTTTTTTCTATTCTTTTCTATTATGGTTTATCACAGGATATTGAATATAGTTCCCTGTGCTCTACAGTAAGGGAACTCGTTGTTTATCCATCCTATACGTAATAGTTTGCATCTACTAACTCTAAACTCCCAGTGCATCCCTCCCCCCACCTTGGCAACCACAAGTCAGTTCTCTCTCTCTTTTTTAAATTAATTAATTAATTAATTTTTGGTTGCATTGGGTATTCGTTGCTGTGCGCGGGCTTTCTCTAGTTACGGCAAGGGGGGGCTACTCTTTGTTGCGGTGCATGAGCTTCTCTTTGCAGTGGCTTCTCTTGTTGCGGAGCATGGGCTCTAGGCGCATGGGCTTCAGTAGTTGTGGCTTGTGGGCTCTAGAGTGCAGGCTCAATAGTTGTGGTGCACGGGCTTAGTTGCTCCACGGCATATGGGATCTTCCCGGACCAGGGATCGAACCTGTGTCCCCTGCATTGGCTGGTGGATTCTTAACCACTGCGCCACCAGGGAAGTCCCACAAGTCTGTTCTCCATGTCTGTGAGTCTGTTTCTGCTTCATAGATAAGTTCATTTGTGTCATATTTTAGATTCCACATGTAAGTGATATCATACGGTATTTATCATTCTCTTTCTGACCTGAATGGTTTTGATAATATTGTGAATTTATATTTAGTTTACTTTCTCGTTATTATTCGTAAAGCAGCTGTAACACATGAATAGGCAACAAAAATGATATTTATTTCTAATAATCTATACCTGATGATTGGACAGGTGTTTATATTTGGTGGCTGTTAGGTACTATAATTCATATAATTATTGTTCTTTCCAATGCAGGTGTTCCAAAAAGAAGAGATTGAACCCTTGCAGGTTAAACAGCAGGATGTGAACTGGCTGGGTCAAGGCCTCATTCAGAGCGCCGCTAAGGGCACCAGCACCCAGGCCTTGGAGCGGGACCTGGACAATGCCAGTGCGCGATGGAAGACCCTCAACAAGAAGGTGGCGTTACCACCCCCTTCGCTGTCATTTCTGTGGATTGTTCTTCTCCAGCATTTGCTGTGACCACCAGTCGTATTTCTAGTAGCCAAGTTTCCCTAAACCTGCCTGTTCCTTGACATCCCCATGAGCTGATGGCCCACCCTAGATGCCCCCAGGGCTTGCTGGGCAGCACAGATGCAGGAAGGACCTCCCCCACCCACCGCCCCCACGAGGATAGGGACCCGGCCGCACAGCTGTGACGGCAGGCGGCCAGGATCCTGGCCCTGGGCTGGTGGGAGCACACGCACCTCCAAGGGCACAGGGGCTACTTGGCTCCATAATCAGTGTCCCATAGGGATCTGGCCTCCCTGTTGCCAGATCCTTTACTTATTTTGCAAAGAACTTGGAACTCTCACTTTTTACGTGAAACCTAATTTTCAGATGTCAGCAACTCACTCCACACTGTGTAATAGGTCACACAGTACAGCTCTGTGTCTGTTTGCCCTGGACTAAGGGTTTGCACCTCGCTATAGATCATTAAGTCCAAATACCATTTTACTGATAAGATGTAGATCCCACCATTTTCTAAATGCCCGTGATGGAAAACACTGGAAAATAATGCTCTGATATCTTAAGAAGGTGATGCTGACACACAGTGGCAGCTCTTTATGTGACAGAAATGATCAGAAAAGGATTTCGGGGTGGCAGTGCTCATCTAGTGGTGGTAGTGGTGGGAGATTGTTCTTGGAGTTTTCCTTGCGTTGAAATCTTAAGCAGTGGCTGGATCTCAGAATGACATTTATCCTTCTTTAGAGTTTGATTCATACTGCAGCACTCCTCAAATACAACTGGGATGCAGTGTCAGGTGTGAATACTTTCCATGGAGCTTAAAATATCTTGCCAACTACTTTTTCAGCCCAAAAAGAAAAGACCTTTGAGGGGGCAATAGGATATCTCTATGCAGAACACAGAGACTCCATTTACTGGGCGACAAAGGCCCTGGCTTGTCAAGAAAGGACTCTATAGAGCTTGGATCTAGCAGAATTTAATTGGATACTTCATAGTTATTTTGCCTAGCAGAACGTAATTCTGATTCTCCCCACAATAATATTGTTGTTTAAATCTTAGTCTTTAAAAAAATATTCAACAGTAGGAAATAAAGAATGAATCCCAGGGATAATGATAAAAATGAATAAGGCACTTTCTTTCAGTAACCTTAAAATATTTGAACCATTCATTGCTAATCATAAATGTATTGGATACTTCCAGAATCTCAAAGGCTTCCCCTTTTGCACTGACTGGTTGAGATGGCAACCTTATCTCCTTGGCTTACTTGCTAAGTTTGCGTTTGTCTCCTTTCCATCTGTATCCTGCCCACTAGCAATGCTTTGGGTGAATTTTAAGTGAGAAGGAAAAGAAAATTTGTGACCAGATGGGAAGATGAGCATGGAAAGTGTTGGCTGGTGAGCAAATTTCATTTTTCATGAACGCAGTAGATAACTGGGGATACCTGGTGCTGTGCAGGTGGCCCAGCGAGCAGCCCAGCTGCAGGAGGCCCTGCTGCACTGCGGGAGGTTCCAGGATGCCCTGGAGTCCCTACTCAGCTGGATGGTGGACACCGAGGAGCTTGTGGCCAATCAGAAGCCCCCATCGGCTGAGTTCAAGGTGGTGAAGGCCCAGATACAAGAGCAGAAGGTAAGTTAGCGGAGCTTTCTTACTGTTTCATGTTAAATCTTAACAATGAGAGTAAAAGTTCACCTTGTGACTCTCTTTATTTGTGTTAATAGGATATCCTCGTTAACTGGTAATCAATGCTCTAGACATTGTTTTGTTAGTCGTTCAACAAATATTTGTGGACCATCTGCCACAGGTCAGCCATCGTTCCAGGTGCTGGAGATATATCATTGAATACAAACCATAGACGTTCCTCATCGAGTGTAAGGTTTAGTGGGAAGGGAGCAACGGGGAGAGAGAGACAATAAACAAAGTAAACACGTAAATGGTGTTACATTAGCCATCGATAAATAACACGGGGATGGGAGATGAGAGTTATTAGCAAGAGACAGAGTGCAAGGGTGGGGGACAGGAAGTGCTGAGTGGAGGAGTGTGTGTGTACAATTTTAAAAAATAGCGTAGTTGAGTTCGAAGACATCACTTACCGAAAAGGTGACTTCGAACAGAAATATCGTTCTCCTGTGTATTAGGTTGATGCACATGCAATTGCCTATTTTATGGAGTCAGTATGGGCAGTTTGTTATGGTTCAGCCTGTACTGACATGGCAGAGAGTTGATTCACATACGCTGAGAACCATGCTGCTGTGTCTTTTGATTCTGCAAATACAGGACCCAGTTGGAAAGACACTTCTTAGAGGGATGGTGACTACTTGGGGCCACATGTACAATTTTTGTGGTCATTAGGAAGCATTTAGTGACCTGTCCAGTATTGATTTGTCAGCCATGACTTGAAATGACACATGGGGGAGTGGCACCTGGCACACAGCACACTGATAAGGCTTCTTTTTAAAAAGACGGGACCTTTAAAAAGAAGAGACTGGATTAAGAGGCTTAATTGGGTTTTGACACCCAGTACTACTCTCTCTCAGAATTCTTCGAAGACTTTAATATCTTGGGAAATTAACTTATTAGAAATAGATTTACAGGTATGGATTAAAGAAATATAACAGGAAACACATTGCATTTGTTTGATTTTTGAAAAAATATGGTAATATATAACAGTATGTAATAAAATAATATATATGTATAATTTATATAATGTAATAAATATATAATATAATCTGGTGTTAAATATAATAATGTAATTGCTACCATTCACGATTTAAACATGTATTATTTGCCCAGAGTTAATGAACTGTGCTTAGCCAACAAAACCTGTCTATTGATTTTGCTTTCTTAATTGCTAGAAGCGGTTCGTTAAAGTTTACCAAAAGTAATCCACTTAATTGTTCTCTTTACTGCCTAAACCACCTGTTGTACTTTGATTTTATGATGACTCTGACCTGTGTCAAGAGAGGGCATCTCTTCCCCTTCTCTTTAGTCCTGTTCCCCTCCCTTCCTGCTGTGGTGGCCTTGATCCCAGAGTGACAGTGAGAAAATACCCTTCCAGCTTGTTACTTCTGGGTGACTGTCTGTGCCTTTGGTCCTCAGGCATCAGTCAGGGTCAGGTTAAGGAAGCAGTGCGGTACTCAGCATTCTGTACACCTATGCCTTCCTCACTGCTCTCCACACAGGGCCTGGGGATTGCACTTATTCCTGAAATACTTGTTTTGATTCATTGGAGGAAGGGAACCCTGATTTCTGGCTACCTATGTCAAACACTCCCTTCCAGGCTTCTCAAAATGAAGCATTAAATTGAATTTTTTTCCACAGCTCAATCCTGAAATATTAGTCTTCTTTAGCCAGCTTTGGGGATTTCTGACATGTTTCCCCCTCGGTTCATTGTGGAAATGATATTTAAAGGCTCTTGTTAGTTTTCATCCTCGTAAAGAATTTTAGGAGCTATCTTACCCCCTAAAAGCAACCAAGAGCCTCTAGTTGTAGCCTCACTAGCTTGTGAACTTGGTGTGACTTTCAACTTCCCTTCTGCGGTGGATTGTTTAACATGGGGAAAGGTTTTGAAAACAGCAGTGATTTATAATGACCTTTTCTATCTCAACGGGACAGATCACCGTTGATTGTTTAGGGCATTCCCATTTCATTATAATAATTGGGATTTTGCGCTCTCAGTGCAGAGGAGTTATCCTAAGCGGCACATTCTACTCCATTACTTTATATTAACAAGTTAATAACGAATGGTTCAGTGGCCTTATCAATATTCGTTTTATTTAGTGTGAAAAGCCACCACCACAATGTTTGACACAACAGTAATGAATCATTAAACAAAAAGTTTTTTTGAAAAAAATCCTACTTCTCAGGTCCTTTTGTATGTGAATCCACACAAAGTTATTTTTGTTACATATCAAAAGTACTTTGTGTATGTTTTCCATATGTTGATAAAATTATCGCTTTGTTTCCTTTCTTTTTATTTATTTATTTTTAATTTACTATTTTGTCTTAAGCTTCTCCAGAGATTGTTGGATGACCGCAAATCTACTGTGGAGGTGATCAAACGGGAAGGAGAAAAAATTGCCGCCACAGCAGAACCTGCAGATAAAGTGAAGATTTTGAAACAACTGAGTCTCTTGGATAGCAGATGGGCAGCCTTGCTTAATAAGGCTGAAACAAGGTAAATGCTTCCAGTCTTTGGAAAGAGCACCAATGGCATTCATACTGATTTCTTGTATTTTGGTAATGCTTTTCTTCAAATTGTTATTTTCCTGTGTTTATCATGTATGTGAACCTGGAGGGCAAGGGCTATGGCACCTCTGTCCTTATTCCCCCATGGGGATGTCCTGTAGTCTCCAAATCTATCCCAACTCTTAAGAAGAGTATTTCCTTTGGGGGTCATTCGTTCATTCGTTTATAACGTAGTTATCGCCTGCCTACCGTGCATCAGGCAGAGCTGGGCCTTCCACAGGGGTGCACTGGTCAGATCATCCCTGCCCTCAGACAAGGGACAGCCTAGCAGGGTTTCGTAGCCATTGAAGACTAATGACAAATGTGATGGTTCAAAGTGAAACCTGGGCACAGGGTGCTGTGGAAGCAGAGAACAGGAGGAACCTGGCCTGGGGCAGGAAAGTGACAGCTAAGCTCTGTTTTAAAGGAGGAGTGGGAGTTATCTGGGAAGTGAGGCAGGTGGAGGGCGCTGTGATGTCTACCAGGGCCAGAAGCTGGAGCGTGGCTCTGCCGGGCTTCATTACACTTCGGTCTTTTTTCTTTTTAATTTTTTTAATTCAAGTATAGTTGATTTACAATGTTGTATGAATTTCTGCTGTACAGCAAAGTGACTCAGTTATACATACATATACATTCTTTTTTAAAATATTCTTTTCCATTATGGTTTATCATAAGATATTGAATATAGTTCTTTCTTCATTCTCTTCACTGGCACCACATTGACCGATGTCATGTTGTAGCTACATTGAAGTGTACACTGGCTGGGTTGGAAATAGATGACCCACTGAAGAAAATGAGCATCTCCATACATTCCTACCTTCTTTGGAACTAAGATAATGCAGAGAAGGGTTTGTCCAATCTTGAATTACGGAGTAGAAGGAGTTATCATTCTAGGACCATTGAATAAGGGGCTCCAAAGGAGGCTGGAAGTTTCATGTTATTCTTTAATGTGTGTCAGTAGATTATTCCTTCTGTGTAATGCCCCAGAATTACTGCCATGGGAGAGACTCTCAATACTTTTTTTTAATAAATGAAAGCCTAGATCTCTGCTTTACTGCTATAACTGTCCTTTTTTTTTCCTAAACCTTCCTCACAGTGGTATTAAGTGGAGGGATGGTGGTGATGCTATGATTCATACACAGACTAGTAGATTCCCTTACAATTTAAATCATAGTCAGTTAAACCTAGTTGCAAAATACTTCTTTCCAGTGATTCTAGGTGATTGGATATTAGAATTTTTTAAAAGTCATAAATAGTGATAATCCAGAAGTCAAAAATAATGTAGTAAATTTTATTCATTTTTGTAAAAAGATCAAATGTATTTCAGCTGAAGGTTTTAAAAATATATGCATATGTAATTTGTGATATGAAGGTATAGAAATTATGTTCGGTAGCATGTGCCAGTTGTCCATAATTCCCTTTGTCCCCATAGAAAGCTCATTTCTCAAAGCATGTAATTCTCTAAGAATTAAACATGATAACAGGTTAAGACAGCTACTCTTGGTCCCAGCAAAGATAATTCACAGGATTGGGTACAGCATCAGGTCCTCTGTATAGAGACCAGCACAATCACTTGCCGTAGATAAAAACCAAGGACGATGCAAGTAGGTTTTAACTTATGTGGTACCTTTTTAAGGGAGGAGACAATGGGTTTTCTAAAAGCATTCAAACTCTGTTACAAGTTAAAGTCTGAGGAATATTTCTCCTCTTTCATGGTATTTTAGTCCATAAAATATTAACTGTTGCCTTGGGGAAATATACCTGACAGTGTACTTTTTAAAGGAGGACTCACTAGTAATTCCAGCACAAGGGATGCTATAGTTATTCTTCAAAATTTAAATCTAATTTTGACCATTTGATTAAAGCAATCTCAGTAACTGATGCTCTGATTGAAGTTAACTATTATATAAAGCACAGAATATGTGTTCAGTAAGTATTACCTATTACTATCATTATTATGGCTACTATTGTTATTTTAACGTTACTATGATTATACCTATTATTATTTTAAGTATTACAACCAGGTTACTTAAGACTTTCACAAGATTCAGGCACTTGAGGTTGATGTGTTGTTCAGCTTTACTTTTATTTAATAGGAGAACTATTTTTTAAAGTTTTTCATAGATACTTCTTTTTTTTTTTTGGCCATGTCACATGGCTTGCGGGATCTTAGTTCCCCGACCAGGGATCAAACCCCGGCCCCTGGCAGTGGAAGCATGGAGAATAGGAGAAATATTTTAAAGTGTCCTCTCCGTGTGAGAGATTTTAATTTTAATTTTAGATGTTTTCTACAAAAACTGTTTGGAGTGGAATGCGGGAGCATGAGTGAAGATTTCTGTTGACAGTTTCCCACGTTTCTCATCCCTGAATGACCTTCCTCTTGGCACGTTTTCAGGAATCGTCAGTTGGAAGGTATCTCAGTGGTAGCACAGCAGTTTCACGAAACCTTAGAACCACTGAACGAGTGGCTGACAACCACAGAAAAGAGGCTGGCGAATAGCGAACCCATTGGAACCCAAGCGTCCAAGCTGGAGGAACAAATTGCCCAGCACAAAGTAAGGTTCCCATCACACGTTAGTGAGATCCAGTTTTCCGTGCCCTTTGTGGTTTTATGACATGCATTTGAGTTTTGTACTGTTGAGTGATGCATCAGTGCAACCTTAGACCCATTTCATGTGTCATCTTTTTGTTCAATTTATGTTGTCATTTTTATTTGTCCATTCTTTTTGTTTCCTTTTTTAAACTTTATTTAGGCCTTAGAAGATGACATCAACCATCATAATAAACATTTACACCAGGCCATTAGCATTGGCCAGTCCTTAAAGGTTTTGAGCTCCAGGGAGGATAAAGATATGGTGCAGAGTAAATTAGACTCCTCTCAAGTGTGGTACATTGAGATTCAAGAGAAAAGCCACGGCAGGTCTGAGCTTCTCCAGCAGGCTCTGTGTAATGCTAAGATTTTTGGGGAAGATGAAGTGGAGCTGATGAACTGGCTGAGTGAAGTGCATGACAAGCTGAGGAGGCTCTCGGTCCAGGATTCCAGCCCTGAGGGGCTGTGGACACAGCAGGCTGAGCTGCGGGTATTTTGATTTATTTTACTTTATTTTTTCATTTCAGTTTTCCTCATTTTCTCAGTCTTCCTTATTTCTGTATTATTTTACGTTCACTATGATTTAGGTGAGTTGCTGTACTCAAGATATTGCCTATGTATACAGTGACTTTTTTTTAACTGAAGTATAGTTGATTTACAATGTTGTGTTACTTTCAGGTGTACAGCATAGGGATTCAGTGTGTGTGTATATATATATATATATATATATATATACATATACATATATACATATATACATACACATACACACACATATATATATGTATATGTATATATATGTGTGTATATATGTACACTTTTTCAGATTCTTTTCCCATATAGGTTATTACGAACTATTGAGCAGAGTTCCCTGTGCTGTACTGTAGGTCCTTGTTGTTTATCCATTTTATATATAGTAAGTGTGTTGTATCAGGTACTTTTAATGAAGTCACATGTAAGAAGAGATTTAATTTATCCAATAGCTGGATTGTTGACTTTTCATTTTGTTATTTCATCTTTGTATACAAAGGCCCATAATTAACCAGTACTCCAATGTCTCCACATCACCCATTTTCTGAAGAGGGGAGTGAATTATGATAGATGAAATGAGACATGGGCACAGTGGTGGAAAAAAGATGGGTAAACATGAGAACAGTGAGGAATATTTGAAAAGTGTTTACTCAAATAAGATTAACTGATAATGCCAATGCTTATTTAAATTTTTTTTTCCCCCGCATAAAAATGATACCTGTGTTTTAGGTTCTGCAAGAGGACATCCTACTCAGAAAACAAAATGTAGATCAGGCCTTACTAAATGGTTTAGAACTACTTAAACGAACAACAGGTGAGATACCTTTCAAATCAAATCCTCATGACGTGAGCATTTTGTGTTGCTTTCAAAATATTTTAGAGATGGGGGAAAAACACAAAGCACACTCGAAATTTGGGGCCACTCCAAGATTTCATCCTGGAGAATGCTTTGAAGGCCGACCGAGGGGGTTTAGACTATGATTTCATTGTTTTTCTCATGATCTCACTGAGTTTTTAATGGAAGTTTTGTGTATTACTCATAACACCAAGCATTGGTCAGAGAATCCCATGGCAGAGTGACATTAGTTTTCCACTTGGGGAAGGCAGTTGTTCTAGATGAGCACATAGGTTGTAGACAGCTTTTTAAATTTTTAAGATAGATGGCATTCAGTGACATATACTCTGACTATACCCAGGTTTTGTTTCTCTGTGCCTGAACTCACCAAAAAAACATATTACCTTGTTTTAGTAATTCCTTTGGCTGGAATGTCTCATTGTATTTATATCCAATTCAGCACATGTGTGTGGTGGGGGACAGGTACCATTCATTATGAATGGGAAGAATTTGATATAGTATCAAGAGCCTTGGACTCTGAAGCCCAGGGCACAATTTCTCTGTGTGTCTGAAAATTAGAGGCAGGTGAGGATCTATTGGAATAGTGCAGGTGAGTTTATTATTATTATTATTATTATTATTACTTTTTTTTTTTTTTTTTTTAGTATGCGGGCCTGTCA